AAAACACTGGATCACAAAGTCAGCGGTTCGAGCCCACCAGCTACTTGGTGGGAGAAAGATGAGGCTTTCTGTTCCCGCAAAGATTCACAGCCTCAGAAACCCTAAACAGGGTTGCTTTGAATCGGAACCGACTCGGCGACACCAAGCCCTACGCTGCATACAGCTCCAATATAAAGTAAGATTGAGCAAAATGCTGGTGTGAGCACAATTCGTTCGGTGGGTAAGAATGGCTTGCATCCTCAGGGTCTCCCGAGATCACGAAAACAGCAACAACTCCTGCTGCTTTGCTACCGCCATCAGCGCTCGCAACACACAGCTAGGCGTGTACAGAATAAGGACAGTGCGGATGCCGCACGACGTACAGTCAAATAAAACACGCCAACCCAGAGCTCACAACTAACCAACAGTAGGGTAGTTCCCATCTAGACTCTCTGCCCCACCTACTGGCAAAAGGCATCAGCCCCACCCCCTTATTATGGCCCCGCCATATTGGGCCCCGCCCCACGCCTACGCCAAGACCTGCCCACCGCGTCGCTGGAGTACTTCCCACGAGTCCCTCTCACCCGTCTGAGTTGCTCCTGCTGCTGCAGTTCCGAGAACCTTTCCAGTGCGTTTGCAAAGCCACCTGGGCGAGCTCGAGGTTCTGCAGAATTAGAACTCTCGCTTCCGGAGCCACTCTGAGTACCCGAGCCTCTAAAAGGCCGGGAGAAAACAAACACTTGGAGGAAACGACTCTCGGCACCCATGGTGCGGGTCCAACACAGCGCCGCCATAACTGCTGCACAACCTTTGACCTTTGACTCCCGTCGCAAGCGCGCTGGTCGCAGGCGGAGCGACCAAAGGCCCGCCCAGTTGCTGCAGATCGCGAATTGCAAAGGGCATGCCGTTGTTGATGCTTGTAGTACTTATAAAATTCAAGGAGTAAAGGAGTGGTCTGGACAGTTTCGGACTGACAGCCATCTGCTCAGTTTGCGTGGAAAACGTATTTGTCTCGCAGGGATGTTACTTCTCTGATCCTTTGATGTATGTAAGTTCTAGTAATGAGACAGTTTCCCCTGTCTCCTGAATGCTGCCTCTTCCATCCCCCATCCCTGCCAGAAGGCCATCTGGGTAGTTACCCTATTAAGAATCAGAACCCCATACTTTCTGATTCTACTTCTTTCTCTGTACCATTTATCACTTTCTAGTATATAATATGGACTTCTTGTGTGGCGAGCCACAGGGTCGGCAGTTCAAACCCACCTGCTGCTCCTTGGAAACCCTATACAGGGTCTCTATGAGTCGGAACCAACTCGACAGTACTTAACAACAGTATATATAGTAGGTACAGGGGTGTAATTATCACCTTTTATATGGGAGACCCAAATAGTTTTCCAGCCAATGTACTTCAGGTGGTAGCTTGTATGTTGTTGCTACAATGCGGAACATTTATTTATGAACAGAACTTCCAGACTAAGATTGAGAAGAAAGACCTGGCAATCTACTTCCAAAAGTCAGCCAATAAAATACAAACATCTTATGACCCAGCAATCCCTCTACTGAGTATACAGCCACAAGAAATACGATCCAGAAGGCAAATAAATACATGCACACCAATGTTAATAGCAGCACTATTTACAATAGCAAAAAGATGGAGACAGCCTAAGTGCCCATCAGTGGAAGAATGGATAAACAAACTGTGGTACATACACACAATAGAATATTATGCTACCTTTGAGAATAACAATCTGCAAAACATAACATTGATGAACCTGGAAGACATTTACTGAGTGAAATTAGTCAATCACAAAAGGACCAATAGTGCATGAGACCATTATTATAAAAACTTTAGAAAAGTCTTCCATACTAAAAGAAACATTCTTTGATGGTTACCAGGGAAAGGAGAGTAATACACTGGCTAGAGGGTAGACACATGTTAGCTCAGGTGATAGGGAGGGCAATATGCAAGGATTGAGAGGGCTATAAACATGAAAAGTGAGGGTGGCAGATGAACAATGAAAACAGAAGACTTAGGGAGTTATGCATGGGATAAATGAGTAGAGGTAAATAGTGATTTAAACACAAACGTAGAACATTATTCTGTGTAGTAGACACATGGATGGAGACATAGGCTGAATGGATAACGAAATAAAAAGAAAAATGTGTTTGGCTGTATTATGGATATTGGTTTCCCCTGATTACTATTATAAAATAGACATGTGTGGTAGAAATAAATATTGGGAATTATAATTACAGAACACTTGCAAGTCCATCTTCAGCCTATAACTGATTGGATTTGCTAAAAGGGGAATTGGGATTTGCACAGGGAAATAGGCTTCTTGTTAAGCCTTTGTAGAGTATGGGGCATAGGGGAATCCTGAGCCCAACCCAAAACTGCTGGAAGAACAGAATATTCTTATTGAAAGGAAGACCTATAGAAAAAAAGTAGACTGTTTGGCTATTTGAATATCAAGGAAAGTGTTGATTTTGGAGGCATCAAGGAGAGAAACAGCAGGCCATCAGGGGGAATTTCCTGCTAGGACTGAAACTCAAAGGGGATCCTCAAGCAGTCTAGTATACTCACTGCTGACCACCTGGGACAGCTTGTGAGTGGAAGTGGGGGAAATGCAGCAGTGAGGACAGGCTGAGTGTGGCCATGTTCCATTTATACCTGTCCACCTCAAGATGAAAGAAGAGGAAGGGCTGGTTGGTCTGAAGTATAGGGAGATGTGTGAACTCCCAAGCCCATGAACACTGACCTAGTCACCGGGGGCTAGAGCTGAGAGTGAAATGGCTAGCTAGTCTGAAGTGCAGAGAGGCATTCATGAAGTCCCAAACTTGTAGCTAGGACCCATTTGACTTAGCTTGGATGGCTAGCTGACCAGAATTTGACCAGATGAAGATACAAATGCCTGATACTGTGAGCAAATGTAAATTGCTACAGTTTGGTGAACTGGACTTTGGCTTATGAATGCAGTTGTGCAAAATTTCAGCGGGAATAGCAGGATTTTTCCTATCAGGAACAAGCCTGTTTCCTCAGTGTACTGGCCTGATAGGGATGGGCAATGTAGACATTGGCTATCAAAAATAGGGGTTCTGTAAAGGCACAAAGTGGTTGCCTTATAAACTAAGTGTCCTTAGTTTCAGAACAAGGGCTGTAAGGTAGAATCCTCACTGAATAGTTTTCCTCTTCTCCAGATGAATCTGGCAGAAGGGGTTAGGGGATGACGGTGATAGGATGTTATTGAAGATTCAGTTATGAGTTACTCTTTGCAGGATTGTCATAACTGTAATTGTACAAGATGTATAACTAAAATGGGGGAGTAGTTAATCTTTCATTTCAGGAACAGATGATGCCAGGACCATCAAGAAGGAAGAGCATGAATGGAGCGTGAGATCCTACCTAGAAAAGCAGGTAACAGCAGAGATGATGACAGAGGCAGTAGTGTGGAGGGATAGAGTAGCTGTGGGCTCTAGGCCCATGGTCTGAGTAAGGCTGTATGCCTTCAGGCAGGAGACTGGTTTGCAGAATCTGCCCTTAGGATATTTAAGTGAATATATGCTTATTTTTTAATATGTGTGCAAATATTTTTGCTTTGTTCATTTGTGAAATATAAGATGTAAAAGGGAAGGTACAGGGAGGAAGGAGGATAACTGTTGTAGGGAGGGGATGGTAATCACTGAGATGAAACAAAGCATATAATTTGTGGAATGTAAAGCTAATGACCTTATCTGTTAACCTTCACTCAGTTCACAATATAAACTTTTTGAAAACAGTCAGCCAATAAAAACTCTGGATCAAAATTATCTGATCTGTAAAAGCAAATAAATAAATGAAGAGAATGGCACAGAACTGGGCAATGTTTTGTTCTGTTGGGCATAGGGTCTCCATGAGTCAAGATCTTACTCTATGGCAGTTTAACAATAATTTCCTTTAATGTCTGTTCTCTCAAACATTATAAACTCCCGTGAGTGCCTGGGTTGGATTACTGGTGTCAGGCATACAGTAAGGATCAAGTATCTGTGAAAATCTGGATTTAGTTTCCCCTTTGCCTCTTCGTCCACCCACTCAGAATGTGCCTAGTATGCACCTCTAGAGACTCCACCTTCATCCTTGATTTTTCTGGGTCCACATTCGTATCATTTCTCAGTAGTTGGTCACACTCCTTAAAACTATTCTTGTAGGGAATTACCCAAGCAAGGTGAAGTTTCCCTCTTAGCACATTTCCTCTGACCATTAATGTAGTCTTGTTGTTATGTGCCATGGAGTCGGTTCCGACTCATAGCGACCCTGTACAGGGTTTCTGAGGCTGTAAATCTTTACGGGAGCAGAGAGTCTCATCTTTCTCCCGCGTAACAGCTCGTAGTTTCAAACTGCTGACCTTTCAGTTCGCAGCCCAATTGGTAATCACTACGCTACCAGAGCTCCTTGCTCTGTAGTCTTACTGTGGTATAAAGTCTAAAATTAAGATTTAGTATTAAGTGTAGTGGAGTCCTGGTGTGGCGCTGTAGGACCAGCACTGGACTACTATCCGCAATATTAGCAGTTCAAACCCACCAGCTGCTCCACAGAAACCCTATGTGGATCGCTATGACTTGGCACCAACTAGATGGCACTTAACATTAAGTGCTACTTTAACAACTGGTAAAATCAAGAGGGCATTAAATGGTCTCACCACAGTTCCCCTTCCCCTCTCTTCTCGTCAATAAATCCACCTGGGCAAGCAATCTTCTTTATGACAAGGACAAGAAATATAAAAGATGTGGCACTGTAGGATAAGCCATGGACCACAAGGTCAGTTTGAACCACAAGGTGGCCGCTCCTTGCAAATCCTATACAGGATCGCTATGCGTCAGAACCGACCTGACGGCATGGTATGGCGCTGCTGGTTAAAGGACGGACTGCAAGTTTGGTTTGAACCGCAAAGTCGAGGGTTAAGTTCACCAGCTGCTTCTTCAAAACCCTCTATAGAGTCGCTATGAGTTGAAACTGACTCGACAGCACTTAAGAACAAACAACAATCCCAGAACAGTGAATTTCAGTTCCCTGTTTTGTCCACAGAATTGTTCAAATAAGGCAAATACATCCTCCCATGGGAACCAGGGCTCACCCAATGCTGTTAGTACAAAGTCTGCTTTCCCCAGCTCCTGCTGGTTCATTCCAAAGTGCAATCAATCCCTATGCAGCGCAGCATGCCTTGTCATGTCCTCCCTGACACTGTATGTGACTGACGAATTGTCTCTCTTACTTGTACAGTATTGGGTGTCATGTACTGGACTATCCCCAAAATCCTCGGGAGGAAATCCCTTTCGCAGACACTGGGTATAGGGTGCAAGAACCTCCTATGACACAGAATTACCCTATAGAGGTTTTCTTGGCCGTAACCTTTACAGAGGCAGATTACCAGGTCCCTTGATCCAGGGAGCAGGCTAGTGGGTTTGAGTTGCCAACCTTCCAGTAAACAACCCAGCACTTTACCATTGTACCCCCTAAGCTCCTTATCCTGACCTAATATGTTAAGTGTTGAGTGAATTCCAACTCATAATGACCCTGTATGGAGTTTTCAAGCAGCAGTCGGTGGGTCTGAACTGCTGACCTTGAGGTTAGCCATCCAGTGCTTATCCTACAGCACCACACCAGGACTCCACATCCTGACCTTAAGCAAGCCAATTTAATGATGCTGATTTGGTTTCTTCATTCATAAAACCAAGCTATTATCCCTTGTGCTAAATTTAAGAATGTGATATAAACTGAAGTACATCAGAATCTACACAACAAATGTAGTTACTAAGG